TTCAAATTCTACCAGTGTCAATATTCATATTCAAGTAGAAAAAAACAAGGTATATTAGTCAAAAGTGTTGCTTCTATTAACCCAAGGATAAGAAAATCTCTTCTATAGAAGATATGTTACCTTAATCAATGCTGGTAGGTGCAAATTTATACACAGGCATACCATGGAGATACTGCAGGCTTGGTTCTAGACCACCACAATGAAGTAAATACTGCAATAAAGCAAGTCATACAAGTTTTTTTTGGCTTCTCAGTACATATAAAGTTATGTTTATACTATACTCTGGTCTGTTAAGTGTGTAATAGCATTGTATCTAATAAAGCAATGTACATACTTTAACTAAAAATACTTTATTGCAAAAAAAATGCTAATGATCATCTGAGCTTTCAGTGAGTTGTAATCTTCTTGCTGGTGGAGAGTATTGCCCCAATGTGATGGCTTCTGATCAGGGTGGTGGTTGCTGAATGTTGGGGTGGCTGTGGCAATTTCTTAAAATAAGACAACAGTGCGATTTGCCATATTGATTGACTGACTCTTCTTTTCATGAAAGATTTCTCTGTAGCATGAGATGCTATTTGGTAGCATTTTACTTAAAGTAGAGCTTTCAAAATTGGAATTAAACCCTGTTGCTGCTTTATTGACTAAGTATGTGTAACATTCTAAATTTTTTGTTGTCATTTCAACAATATTCACAGCATCTTCAACAGGAGTACATTCCATCTCAAGAAACCAGTTTCTTTTTTTTCTTTTTCCTTTTTTAAAAATTATTTTATTGCATTTTAGGTTTTGGGGTACATGTGAAGAACATGCAAGATTGTTGCATGGGTACACACGTGACAGTGTGATTTGCTGCCTTCCTCCCCATCACCTATATCTGGCGTTTCTCCACATGCTATCTCTCCCCAACTCCCCACCCCCCACTGTCCCTCCCCTATTTCCCCCCAACAGACCCCAGTGTGTAGTGCTCCCCTCCCTGTGTCCATGTATTCTCACTGAAGAAACCAGTTTCTTTGCTCATTCATGAGCAAAAGGCGTGAGCATGATAAACTTGAGTGAGAAGCAACTCCTCATTCAAGTTTTGTCATGAGCATTCAGTAATTAAGTTAAATCTTTAGGCCCTACTTCTAATTTTAATTCTCTTGACATTTCCACCACATTTGCAGTTACTTCTGTCATTGATATCTTAAACCCCTCAATGTTATCCATGAGGGTTGGAATCAACATATTCCAAACTCCTGTGACTGTTAAAATGTTGACCTCCTCCCATAACCTTATGAGCCAACGTCTGCTAACCTCATACTTTTGCAGCTTCCTCACCTGTGCTAGCCTCCATAGAATTGAAGAGAATTAGGGCCTTACTTTGGATGTGGCCTTGGCTTAAGGGAAAGTTGTGGCTGGTTTCATCTTCTATCCAGATCACTAAACCTTTGTTCGTATCAGCAATAAAGCTATTGTGTTTTCTTATCATTCATGTGTTCACTGGGGTAGCACCATTAATTTCCTTCAAGACCTTTGCTTTGCATTCACTGTTTGGCTGTTCGGAGCAAGAGGCTTAGCTTTTGGCCTGTCTTGGCTTTCAACATACCTTCTTCACTAAGCTTAATCATTTCTACCTTTTTATTTAAGGCGAACTATGTGTGATTTTTCCTTGCACTTGAACACCGAGAGGCCATTATAGGGTTATTAATTGGCCTAATTTCAATATTGTTGTGTCTCAGGAAATAGGGAGGCCCAAGGAGAGGGAGAGAGGTGGGGAAATGGCTAGTTGGTGAAGTGGTCAGAACATATATGACATTTATCAATTAGGTTTGCCATCTTATATGGGTGTAGTTTGTGGCAACCCAAAACAATTACAGTGGTAACATCAAAGATCACTGACCATCATAGCAGATACAATAATAATGAAAATTGAAAGTACTGTAAGAGTTACCAAATGTTGAAGCAGAGACCTGAAGTGAGCACATGCTGTTGGAGAACTGGAACTGATAGGCTTGCTTGGTGCAGGGTTGGCACAGGTTTTCAATTTGTAAAACAATGCCATATCTGTGAGCATGGCAAAGTGAAGTGCAATCAAATGAGTTATGCCTGTACTCTTCATTTTGGTTCTTTTGAGTTAGTTTTTATTGACTTGTCTTGGACTTGTCAGTAACGGGGTTACAGGTATAGTTCGTTTTGGATTTGTGGGTATTTTGTTTACATTTACAACACAACACCACACTGGGAACTTAAGAAAATGAGTCCAGACCTTTTGTTTGAAATCACTGCAGCTTTGCTTCTTTGGCATCTCTGTGTTCTTCTTGTGAAGCCTGGGTACAGGGACAGCTAAATTTGGTGCCACCTGTAAAATAAGTTCCAACATATTATCAACTTGCCTAACAGGGATAAGATACACAAGTTCAGTATTCTTTATTTATCTAAGGCAAGTGGCTACTGGTAGATTTTATGTAAAGTAATGACATAGTTCTGATCGTGTAATTTGGGTGGCTGCAAAAAATTAAATGACTAACTCAAAGGTCTTGTGGGGATGGATTTTGGAAATATGTTGGTATTTAGTAAATTTGTGGTCTAGACTAAATTGAACTTAAGGCTTTAGTGAACACACTATTTCATAATGAATACTCTTTTCTGGTTTTGTATTATGTGTAAGACATTCTTTTAATCTTAAGTATATAACACAGTCCTTGACAGAGAGACTTACATTGTAGTTGATCAAGTAGAATCTACATTTAAAATAATTTGCAATATGTGGTAGTACATGTAGTAGACCAAAAGAATGACTCAGATGGTAAGTTTTGAAAACTCTGAGAGAAAGGTAGTAGTGTTCCCCAGGGTGATTGGAAAGGCTTCTGGAGAAGGTAGTATTTGCACTGGACTTTGAACAAGGTAGAGTGTAGCAGAAAGACAAGGAGGACACTCTAGACAAGGAGACCAATGTGAGTAGAGACTTGGATTAAGAATACATATACGTATAGAATATTTGAGAATAAGGAATGGAGATGTTTGTTGGAATGAAGGTTTCCTATGGGACCTCTCAGGAGATAAGGTTAGCCTGGAAGCTAGGGGAATGTTGTATAAGGCTTTGATTGCTGGGCCAAGGAGTAGTTACTCTAAAGACAGTAAGAAACCATTAAACATTTTTGAATAGTTGGAGGATATGTGAGAATTGAGACTTTATGAAGATTGTCTGTTGTGGGATACAGGATGATTGGGAAGGGGAGAGAGAAGTTAAAAAGTACAGATGTGAGATGAAAGGATCTGGACAGGCTGGGCATGGTGGCTCACATCTGTAATCCTAGCACTTTGGGAGGCCGAGATGGGTGGATCATGAGGTCAGGAGTTCAAGACCAGCCTGGCCAAGATGGTGAAACCCTGTCTCTACTAAAAATACAAAAAAAATTTAGCTGGATGTGGTGGCATGTGCCTGTAGTCCCAGCTACTTGGGAGGCTGAGGCAGGGGAATCACTTGAAACCTGGAGGCGGAGGTTGCAGTGAGCCGAGATCACACCACTGCACTGCAGCCTGGGCGACAGAATGAGACTCCAACTCAAAATTAAAAAAAAAAAATATCTGGACTTCTGTTGGAAAAATAGGAAGAGAAAGGGAAGGGATGAGTCAGAGTAGTAGCTGGTTTGATATATCAGAATTAAATATTTATTTGTTGGCCTGTGGTGATTGAGAGATTTAATGCCTGAATGACTGGGAGAAGCAGTGTTTTTTTAGTCTGGAGGGCTGATGTGAAGGAAAGATGGGTTGAGTTTTAGATATTCTGAGTTCCAGGTGACGGAAGGGCCTGTAGATGGTGGATCCAGCAGGTAGCTGAGATGAAGAAGACTGACACTGGCTCTCAAGTGGAAGAGACATCACTTTTCCATAGGGTTGTCAGTTAAGTTTGTGACGTTGGCTCAGAGAGGAGAATTGCTTGAACCCGGGAGGCAGAGGGTTGCGGATAGCCAAGACTGCACCATTGCACTGCAGCCTGGGCAACAAGAGAAAAACTCTGACTCAAAAAAATAAAATGATGACTGTATCCTGGAGATGTTAGGGGATGAAGAGAAGGGGAGGAGCCACTGTGTCTTACAGAAGGTTCATGCAGAATGAAAACTGAAAAGTGGCCACTGGATTTAAGATACTTGAGAATTGTGAGCTATGTTTGAATGGAATAGTTGGAATCCAAAGTATACAAGTAAGTTTATGACTGAAATATGTGATAAAGAAATAAAAGCAAGTAGTACAGGCCGTGTACTTGTTTTATTCCTGTTGGTTCTTTCCTTGCCTGCTCTTCAGTATGTTTACTTAAAGGGTCTGGCAGGCAGCTTAAAGGAGGTGGAACTTAAAACTGTCCAACTAGTTGCCTATATATATATATACACGTATATATATATATATATATATATACACGTATATATATATATATATATATATACGTATATATGTATATACATATACATATACATATATATATATTTATTTATTTAATTTTATTTATTTAATTTTATTTTTTTGAGTCAGAGTTTTGCTCTTGTTGCCCAGGCTGCAGTGCAATGGTGCAATCTTGGCTAACCACAACCCTCTGCCTCCCGGGTTCAAGCAATTCTCCTACTTCAGCCCCCTGAGTAGCTGGGATTATGGGCATGCGCCACCATGCCTGGCAAATTTTGTATTTTTAGTAGAGATGGGATTTCTCCAGGCTGGTCTCAAACTCCCAACCTCAGGTCATTCACCTGTCTCAGCCTCCCAAAATGCTGGGATTACAGGTGTGAGCCACTGCGCCTGACCACTAGTTCCCTATAAAGAGACTACTTAGAGTAACTAGAGGGCATTAGGATGAAATCATTACTTATTTGGATTATACCATGGATCAGATTAGTTATGTAATGATCTTTATTCCCTAAAAGAATTGAAATTTGATTATAAATTTAGTGAAATTAAAGATGAACATTAATGTTACTGAAAATTATATTTTACTAAATATTACACTTTTTGTTTCTCTTGTATCTTAGTTTCTATGCAGATTTTGGACCTCTGAACTTGGCAATGGTGTACAGATATTGCTGCAAACTAAACAAGAAACTAAAAGTGAGTATTGTAGTGAGATTTATATTTTGGAATTAAAACATTTGAACCATAGGATCTGCGCAGTGGGATTGCTGTGCACACCCCATTTAGTCAGGTGATCTTGATCTTTGGAAATTTATGTGAGTAGTTCACCTAGAATTTGAAAGTGATCCTCCTGATTATACCACAAAGGGCATGTTAAACCTCTTTCAGTTTTCAGAATGAATTGCATTCAGAATGAGCTGAATGAAGTCATTGGAATAGAGGTCTAAGAAAGAAAGCACAAATCCTTTTAGGCTGTTGTTAATGAGCTTCTATCAAACTCCGTCCTGGATAATTTTTCTAAAACCTTTAGATATGTTTGTAGACACTGTTTCCAAGTGATGAACAGGCTCCTTATAGCTGGAGCTGTGTGCATAACATTTTCTGTTTGGTCAAGATTGAAATTTTGGCGTATTTCTGAAATCTTCTGTGTAGTTAACAGCCAAGTGAGACTGATGAACCAGCAGCGACAGAGAATGAAATTTACCAGAGATGACAATTTGGGTCATACATTTAGTATTCATCTATATTTTTGATTTCACATGGGTATCTGGTTTCATTTTATGTGGATTTTGGCATGTGGCTTTCTTTTTCTTCAAGCATATGAGGAAACTGTCATCTATATACCTAGTTTTAGTAAATTTTTTTTTAATCACACAGAAAGCAATATTTATCTCTTTTTCTTCCAATTTCTAAATGAAGATTTTGACTATTTCAGTTTGAGAGGCAAAATGCTATACAACAGACTCTTAAATATAAATGCTAAATGATAGTGCTCAGGTATTTTACTCTTTCTGCTGGGTGAAACGTTACCGGTGTTACATAGTACAATGCATTGGACACATTAACTGTTCTGTGATTATCTTATTTATTTATTTATTTATTTGAGACGGAGCTTTGCTCTTTGTTACCCAGGCTGGAGTGCAATGGCATGATCTCGGCTCACCGCAACCCCCGCCTACTGGGTTCAGGCAATTCTCCTGCCTCAGCCTGCTGAGTAGCCTGGATTACAGGCACGCGCCACCATGCCCAGCTAATTTTTTGTAGTTTTAGTAGAGATGGGGTTTCACCATGTTGACCAGGATGGTCTCGATCTCTTGACCTCGTGATCCACCCGCCTCGGCTTCCCAAAGTGCTGGTGATTATCTTTTGATTTGATTGGTTTTTAATGCATTAGGTATAAAAAACAGTCTAATGGAGAATTTCCTATAGAATATGTTGTATCATTATGGATTTATATGTTTTTGCCATTGATTTCAAAGTACAAGGTAGTCATGGAATTATACCAGAAAGAATCAATAATCATATATTAGGTTGGTGCAAAAGTAACTCTGGTTTTTACAATTACTTTTAATGTTAAAAATTGCAATTACTTTTGCATCGCCAACCTAATAAAATCTGCTGTACTCAACTTTTATAGGAATTAACTTATAAAGTTGTCTGACTTGAAAAGATACATGTAAATTCCTTTAATTAAGCCAGATCTATTTTTCAGAAAAGAAGCCAATATTTTAGAAAGTAAAATAGAGGTTTCTGCAATCACCAAGGAAATAATATCCTTCTTTATAAAATGAACTTTTAATGCCTAAGTAAACAAGAAAAGGATAATTAATAAATAATGGAAGTCTATGGTTTTTTTGAAGACCAAGGAATTTCTTTGCTGTCTTGATTAGTCATTAGTATGTAGTTGGTATGAATTGGGTATTATAATTAATCTGGGAATGGAGTACTATCTAGGGTAGCCAAAGAGAAAGGAGTCATTATCAGGAAAGTAAATCACGGGTCTGACTCAGTGTTCTACTTATAGCAGTTGCACAAGAGTAGATTGGTTGAGTTGAGACTATTTTTTCTACCATTTTCTACACTGAACAGTATGGGTAAGTGTATAAATATAAACTTGTTTCAATGTGCTTTCATTTATAATGCTTTGTTTCCACATTATGGAAGTTTAATAAAGTTTAAACACTCTCCTTGGTTCGTTTTAGTGGTAAGGTAATCTGTTGGATGCCTTGGAATGACGTATGTAGCTGTAGGAAAGTTAATGAGCACTTTCTTACTTGTGGAATTATTGAATTTTAAAAACTCAAATGTTGAGAAGTCATGAGTTATCGCAATGAAGCATACTAAATAGAATCTCTCATTAGGAGAAAAAGATTTACTGTCCCAATCCAAAGTTGGAATTGCTTCAGCTTTGTAGAATCTCCGTTTCTTCATCTGTAAAATAGGAATTATAGAGTTGTCACAGGATGGTGGTTAGTATTATAGCAGAAAATATATGTGTCTTAGTCTATTTTGCATTGCTATAAAAGAATCCCAGAGGGCGGGTATTTTATAAAGAAAAGAGTTTTATTTGGCTCACAGTTCCACAGGCTGTATATGAAGCATGGGACCAACATCTGCTCCTGGTAAGTCCCTCAGGAAGCTTTCACTCAAGGCAGGTGAAGGGGAACCATCATGTCACAACAACCAAATCTTGGGGGAACTAAGAGTGAAAACTCACCCAATCCCCTCAGAATGGTATTGAGCGGTTCATGAGGGATCTGCCCCATGACCCAAACACTTCCCGTCAGGCCCCACCTCCAACACTGGGGATTACATGAGATTTGGAGAGAACAAATATCTGAACTATGTCAGTATGTAAAAGCTTTGTATATTTTAAAGTCCTATACATAATAACGTTACCAGTATAACATTTGTGAATTCTGATAGGGAATATAATAAAGACAGTTCTTCGACAGAATTGATGAACACCTGCTTCTTAGCCTTAAAGCTATTGCTTCTAGATGGGAAAGCTGTCCAATATAGTTTTAGGAATCTAAATGACCATTTAGTTAAGACTCAGAAAGGGAGGCCTGGCAAAGGTATGTGACCTGCCCAACACAGCAGGTAGAGTCAGGGCTAGATTTCATGGCTCTCAACTGCATTTTTTCTGTTTGTCTTTCCCGCTTTGGTAGTATCCATAGCCTCTGGTCTACAGTCATCCCTTGTTTTCTCTTAGCATTGTCCCAGCTACCTTGCCTTGTTGTCCCATGCTGGCTTTGAGGCTCCTCTGCCTCTTTCATTCCAGTAAGTATTAGGGTCATTCTGGCTGGTTCACTTCCAGGAACTCAGACTCCCCCTTGGGAAATGCCCTTGTTACTCACTTGGCACATCTGTCCCTCTCACACTACTGGGATTGCTAGACCTTCAGTCTCCCTGTTCTCTCAGTCCACTGGCACCCTGCTGTTGTCTCTTGCCTGAGACAATGACCTCTGACCGTGGTCACTTATTTCAGTAAGGTCTTGGGTACTTGGCTTTCTTGCCTTTCCACCTTGCCAGCTCTCACCCTTGGTGTCTTCCCAGTGGATGGTTTCATGCATGAATTTACTGGGAAGCAGCAGTACCCTTGCCACTCCCAGCCTTGCACTTTACTCTGTACCATACCAGCTTTTGCATGCATTTGCTCGTGAATACCAGTCTGACTGGGATGCCCCTTCCCTCTGGCTTGATAGCTCTTCATTCTTTAATATCTTGTCCAGCCACCACCCTTTAGGAAGCATCTTCTTGTCCTTTTGGACTGGATTGAGGGTGCCTCCGTTGTTTTCCCGTAATTCTCTGTGTAGATCTCTATCTTTGATGAATTGTAATTATCTGTTTGCACCTGTCTTTCTCACTAGACCATGAGCTTCTAGAGGGGGGGAGGTGGAGGATGTCATGTATCTTTGTGTTCTCAGTGTCCAGTATAGGGAAAACAGATACACAGAGATTTCTTTTGACTTTATCATGATCCCCTTGATTCTTTTCTGCTTTTGCTTCGAGAGGTTTCAGAAGAATAGCCTGCCTGCATCCTTCCTGTGTGCTGATATCTTAACCCTTTGTTATCTAAATTTTGCCTTCCCTAGTCTACTGAAACTGCTCTAATAACATCTTAAATGCCAATCTGATGGCATTTGCTGGGTCCTCAAACTCCTTTATTTCCCTGAATAATTTGGCATTGTGCTAACCAGTAACTTTGTCTTAGAATTCTTCTCTTGTATGATTCCCAATTCTTTTAGGCACATTTTATTTTTTATTTTGGAAATTTTTATTCCTTCCAAGAAAGCTTGTATAATTTTTCTTTCTTTTCTATGCTTTATGTAGATAGGTAATATCTTGCTGTACATTTTATTCCAATCCCAAATTTCTCATTTTTTATGTTGAAACGTGTTTTTTTTTCCCAGTTGATGATTTGAGGTAGTGATTCATCACTCTTTTTGTGTGCATGTGTTTGTATGTATTCTATTCCCAATGGCCTTATTTTAATTACATCGATTAGAATGGAAAATTATTCTATCAAACGTGCTTAGATTAAAAATCCAAACATAAAAGCCATCACCACCAACCAAAAACCTACTGCTTATTTAAACTGTACTTTAAAAAATTGTCAGTACTAGGAGTTAAACAGTAATAGGTTGCTGTTTGCTATTTCCCCCATGATGGGGAAAGCAATCAAAAGAGGGAAGATGCATTGAAGTGAGAACAATTTATAAAACTGTGTGTGTTATTTAATGTTAAATGTCATCAATGATTGATAGGCTAGAGCCGGAATTATTAATCTGGTAATTCAAGGGATCCATAAACCCTTGAAATTATATGTACAATTTTGTATGTATTTACATTTTTCTTCTGGGAGGATTCATGGCTTTTTTTCAGGTTCTCAGAGGGATCCTTGGCACAGACAATGCTAAGAACACTGGGCTAAAGTCTTCTGAAAAAGAAGACTTTACTAACGAAAGACAAAGTTGTGGTATTTTGAAAAAACTGAATACATTCCTCAATCTTCTTTTTTTTTTTGAGATGGGGGTCTCACTGTGTCACCTGGGCTGAAGTGCAGTGGTGCAGTATAGCTCACTGCAGCCTCAAACTCCTGGGCTTAGATGATTCTCCCACTTGAGTCAACGGACTAACTGGAACTATAGGTGCACACTACTTGCTGCACCCCACCCAGCTAATTTTTTTTT